TCTTCCGGATTTATTGCAATGCTCAAAGTTCTCTAAGCGAAGTCTTTGTATCATAAACTGTGTCCGTTTATCAATAATTCCATTTAACTCAAGTTTTGCTTTTCTCAATTCCTTCAGTATTTCTACGTTTTGGGAGGCGCTGTGGGTGGTTTCCAGTGATTTGATCCTAAGTTCTAGTTCTGATATCTTTGAGTTTCAATTTTTTTCTTATTCGATGAGAAAGATATTATTTTGCCTCGTATTACTGCTTTCCCTGCTTCCCAAAGAGTACAGGCGGACATTCCTGGTAGGTCATTATTTTCCAGATATATAGACCATTCCCTTTTAAAGTAATCGACAAAATCAGTGTCTTTAAGCAATGATGTGTTAAATCTCCAGTTCCTACTCACCGGTGCATTCCTTTTAATCTTTAGCTCAACAGAAACTGGTGCATGATCACTGATGGTGATGGAGTGGATTTTGGTGTCTGATAGATCACACATCAGAGACCTACTGATTAGGAAGTAGTCTATTCTAGAATATGAGCCGTGTACTGGTTAAAAGAAAGTAAATTCTCTCAGAGTGGGATGGTGGGAGCGCCATGCATCACAAAGACCAAAATCACTCATGTACTGTTTAATAATGTCTGTGGACTGCCAGTTCCACTGACCTCTGGTGTTACTAAGCCTGTCTACTCCTGGGTCAAATGCCATGTTGAAGTCCCCTCCTATGACTAATGCATTATCCGAGTGCTCAGAGAGTGATGTGAAGAAGGAGTGGAAGAATGAGGGGTCGTCAACATTTGGGCCATATAGATTAGCAATGCATAAATTCTTACCTTGGATGGACAGGTTAACTATTATATATCTACCCTCGGAATCTGTAACTGTGCTTTTTACGGCAAAAGTTACCTTCCTATTTATCAAAATAGCTACTCCTCTCTGTCTGGAGTTGTAACCAGCTGTGTATACGTGGGGAAACTGGTCCGTGGTAAGCACATCGCCTGCAGTCAGATGGGTTTCCTGTAATAAAGCGATGTCTGCTTGCAAGTCCTTCAATGCGTTGGCTATTTTTAATCTCTTCTCTCTGGTCCCGGCTCCGTGCACATTCCACGAAACAAACCTCATTGTGGACATGCTACTATTCATTTAACAGTTGGGTGAGTGAATGCCAAAGGATTTGTGATAGCGTTTGCCCCCGGTTGCATGTGTCATACAGGTGCTCGACAAACTTGTGTCTATTACAACCATGTGTGTGCAAGCCAGCAGCGTTGTGTTTCCCAACAGAGTCCCTGCTTGTGCCTTGAACGTTATCCTTAAGTGTGCTGGAATAGAAATGCAGCCAGTTGAAATATAATGACAGAAGTGAAAAAGAAAAAAAGAAAACAAAATAAAGGAAACAGTGCAGAGGAGTAAAAATATTGAAAAGAAAAACCCAGTGCAAACCCGAACAGAACATAACTTTTACAAAGTAGTGCTCTGTGCTGTGGGACTGTGGCAGTGTAACTATTGGGGAAGCAGTATGTCTGTCTTAATAGTTCGCTGTTCACTGTTAGACACCTGTTCATAGGAGTATTGTTTGTGCAGCCTGTGGGGATAACTAAATGAAATTTATAAAGAGTAACTCGAATTAATATCAATAGGTTGAGTGGATATCACCTGAGTTAGTAGAGCCATGGGGTGGTTTCATGATCGCGGTAGAGCTGCCCGTTGACAAACAATTTGTCCACCGAGACCACAGCACGGGAACCTCCTTCCAGGAATCTCTTCCAGATGGGGAACAGGACCCTGCGTCTGTCCAGGATTTCCCTTGGGAACTGGTCGTTGACACCAAAGTTCGTTCCTTTCAGCTCCAGGCCACGGCTCCTCACCACAAGCTTCTGTTTATGGTGCTCGAACTTTGCCACGATGGGTCTTGGCCTGTGGGCGTCAGGCCTCTTCCCTCCCAGGCGGTGCACACCATGGAAGCTGATGTTATTCACTGTTTCTTCCGGAAGCTTTAGTTGAGTCTTGATAAAGTTTTTAATAGTGTGCTCAGGGTCCTCATCTGGTTGCTCCGGAATCCCAGAGAAAACGAGGTTGTCCCTCATACTGCGGGCCTGGAGGTCAATGATTGTTTCTTTAATCTTTTTGTTTTCCTCAGAGACTCGGCTCATTCCCTCCGTGAGGGATTTCACCGACTCTCTGAGGGTCGCGTTCTCCGTAGCCACCGCCTGCACCTGTTGCTGGCTGAACTCCAACGACTCCCGCAGTGCTTGGAACTCCTTATGTAGAATTTCTACAAGGGACAACCGGGCGTCGAAACTGGACAATCTAGTGTCTATTGACAGCAAGATTTCCGCCGAATCCCTGGTGGTGGGAGACATCGCCCCAGGTGACTCCTCATTTCGGCTCCGCTTGGCGCTAGCGGAGGCTCTCCCTGTCGTCGCTTGGTTTGTTTTGCCCATCACGATCCGGTCAAAGCACTCGTCAATGAACTCCGTCAGGCTGTCAGTGCTATCTTCAGTGTACTCCAGCTTTCGGGTTAATTATTCCTCCGGAATGTGTATTTCCTTTTTTTTTTTTTTTTTTTTTTCCCCTTGTCGTGTTTGGCATTATAGCAACAGAATTGTAATCTGAGTGCCGTGCTGTGCCCGACACTTTTGCTTTGCCAAGGGAGGCCCGTCAGGGTGAGAACCCTCCCTTGATCATCCCATACTGCTTTATTATATATTTAGGATTTATTTTTGTTACATAAGTAATATGGCTGATGCCAACCATGACCGGGGGATAGGAAAGGGGAAAAAAGAAAGAGAT